ATTAGGACTGCCCGTTGGCTAGGGGCCAGTGTGAGAGACGCCCGTGACAGTGGACAAGATGGTTACTGGTCCGACCGGGCCAGTACTGCCTTGTCACTTATGTTTAATTTGGCTGCGACTGCTTATCAATTGCATGCAAGGCAAAAAAGGGGGTCACACACCAGATATCAGATGGTGCTCTGTGGCGCAGCAGAAATTTGAACAGTGCCATGCATTCTAAATGCTTACCATTTAAAATGGTAAACAGCCTATTGAATTTCTGTCAGGTTACGCAAACCGGCGCTGCATGAAATTGTTGCCGTGAGATCAGTTTTTACTGCAAAACGTTCGCCGTATGCGCGGATTTGAGACATTCACGCAGAATACATCTTTGCAACAAAAAATGTTTAGGAACATGTCAACTTGCTGTAGTTAACATAGATCTCACAATTTCCACCCCACCTTCAAGCTCTTCTTGTTGGCCAACAGCTCTAGAACAGAATGCGAATGGATTTGTTAATATCAGTCAATTACTCAGTTCAGAAGACAGAGAGCTACAGCTGCAAAAAATGTAGGTCTGGATATGAGAGAATGAAAACAACATTGACAGATTTTGTTTTAGAAACCACCTAAAGTTACAAAATATGGCATCTGATCAGTGATCATATGGTTAATGTTAATCCACCATATACACTTTTTGAAAAGTAGATAAAAGACTTCCAGTGGGTTAAAGTCCACTATGAAAATGACTAAAGCCAATCACCGTAAAGCCAGTGGGCGTGTTTTCAGGTAACAACGTTGACCACATCTACACATTTTAAGCACGAGACGTTATTTAATCTATCATTTAATTGTTACGATACTGTCAGTCATGCAACTGGCAGCACATACACCATCACAAAGTTTAAAATAATATTACAGCTCATGAAAAGACCGTATTTCAATTAAGATGACATACGCAAATAATAAGTTAAATGTCAATATAATCTGTGCAATATCAGACACCACCTGTGAGAACAGCACAATTATTATCGTTAACTCAGTTCATCTCATTCATGTCAAGCAGTGTGTGCAGGGCCGGTGAGCACATGAAGACTTTTGTTTGTTAGTTTCTGTTAATATAAATCTGTCAATATAAAACTTGTAGTAGCGGTACTTATAGTTTTTTGGGTGCACCTAACTTTTGAAGTTAGGAGCACTGGTGCTGCCAAGTAAAAATGTTAATTTTCAGCCCTGTATGTATGCATGTATGTATATATGTATCTTTTTTTTTTTTTTCAATTTTGTTACATCACAACTGTAATTTCTTTAAATTCCTAGTTGTATTTAAAGAAAAAATATGCTGAATAAAAAGTGTATGTATAGTTATTTTTGGCTTTTGACACAAAAAAAAATATGTGGCTAAGTAATAGCTATTAACTTATTTTTTTAGTGGGGCCAGTGAAAACTTTGGCAGGGCAAGTAAAAATCTGAACCGATCAGGCCAGTAGAAAAAATCTTTAGCGTTGAACCCTGCAATAAAAAATAAACTCTTGCAGTTTACTAATAAACTTGTTTAATAACTTGGTTTACTAATTTACTTTTTTGTTAGTTTATTCATTCATCCATTTTATTTCAGCTTAGACCCTTTATTAATCTGGGGTCGCCACAGCGGAATGAACTGCCAACTTATCCAGCATATGTTTTACACAGCGGATGCTCCTCCAGTCACAACCCATCACTCGGAAACACACATATACACTACGGACAATATTGCTTATCCAATTCACCTATACCACATGTTTTTGGACCTGGTGGAAACCCACGTAAACATGGAGAGAACATGCAAACTCTATACAGAATTGCCAAATAACCCAGCTGAGCTTGTGTTCGTTTGTTGTGGTAAAAAAAAAAAGAAAAGAAAAAAAAAGAAACATTTAAATATTATATCTATTATAAAATATTTAGACTACTTCAACTACTAAAAAAAAAAACATACAAGCTAAAAAAGGTAGTTATTCATGCCATATCAACTGAATGCTTTTTAGTAGGGTGGTGAACAATCAAAAGGGATTTTCATGCACATTTTGCCAGTAAAGACTGTTCGAAGTCATGACTGGCTATCTATGAAAAATCAAGTTTAAAAATGTGTTTAAATATATATATACTTATGCTTATACTACATTTAAAATATATGCATATATGCAAGCATGAGGAAAATGTCTCAACGAAATTCCGTTATCACAAGAAAATACATTTTTATAACAGAACTGAGTGACCAAAGCATACACGGAGCGCTCACCGGCCCTGCACGCACTGCTTGAATGAATCTGTTAACGGTAAAACTCTGCTGTTCTCACAAGTGCTGTCTGATATTGCACTGATGCTTTTGACACATACTGTACCTTATTATATGCATACGTCATGTTAAAAGCAACACCGGTCTTTTTATGAGTAGCGATGTTAGTTCGCTCAGTGTAAGCCTGTTTGCGACGATGTACGTGGTGTTACATTTGACATATAGCTGCCCCTTGCACGGCGGACAGCATCTGGCAATTATATGAATGATTAAACAGAAGCTCCTGTGCTAGATGTGGCAAACAGTTACCTGAAAACTCCATCTCACAGACTTTTCATAGCGGACTTGAAGCCAATGGAAGTCTTCTACTCTTGGAAAAGTGTAGGTGGTGGATTAACATTCAGCACATGATCACTAGTAAGATGTGTCATTATTTGTAAGTAGAGGGTTTCTAAAACTAAATCTGTCAAGTGTTATCTCATTTTCATCTTCAGCGCTTTACAATTTTTCGCGGTAGTAGCTCTCTCTGTCATCCGAAGCCAAAATGGTCGCAATTTCGAGCCCTGCTATAATATACTAGTTTTGACCAAAGCCTATCAAGTCCTCAAAAACTGGTCTATTTAAAATTTACAAGTACAGAAAGAAATTAATTACAAACTGAACGTTATATTCAATATAAATCAAAATGAAATGTTAGCTTGAAGTATGGCAAGATATGTCTTAAACATTTAAAAATTTAGATTTCTTTATCATTGTTTTGGAAAAAAATAAGAAATAAAAATAAAAACAAATAAACCTTTTGTTTTGAGTGAATTTCACTCTAAATCAACATAGAATGTACTCTTTGTACTTCTGTGCATCCAGATTTTGGTTGTGTAAAACTTTTCAACAGATGAATCTAAACGATGACCACATTTTTAAATATTTTTACTTGCGGGAAAAAAATTATGTGAAATTGTTTTGTGTTTATTTAATCTTAATAAAATGGACTCACTAAACAAAAAAACATAACAAAACAACTAAATATTTATAGTCAGGTTTAGACACTCATTACAGTGAAAAAAAAAAAACTTCCATTAAAAGAGCTCTGTTTGTGGTTGACTGTAGCTGCATCTAATAAAACAACATTTAAATTTTGTACCTGTATGCATCCAATTGTTGGTTACAAAAAACTTCCAATGGATGGACACAATGACAATATAAAAAAATAACTTAATTTTATATACCTATTAATTTGATGTTTGAACTTCTTGGGTAAATTAAGCTTAAGTATGAATTAGGGCTGTGCAATTTATTTGAAAATCCGATTTCGATTTCGGCTTCTAATAATTATGAAAAACCATTAATCGAAATAAACAATTATTGCATAATTTACCGCCTTCTTTTCAGTTATATACATGTTGCTCTTAAAAGCGCGAAAGACCGCATGATTCTGTGTGCCGCGCACACACAGAACAGAAGCATGCAGTCAGCATTCGGTCTCACTCTCACACTGAGACAAGGAGTGCGCACACATCTTAAGTCATCTTAACTTGAGCGCTTTAATGGTCAAATAGGTGTCAAAACGCAGTGTTTAGTGATTATTCATGTTAACCCTCATTTGTGTAATAACCAAACGAGTTGAGAATTAAAAGACACGCGAAAGGGAAACCATTAAAGAGACAGCGGGCGATAATCCTGCTGCCGCCTGTTTTTATGATTATTAATCAAACAGCAAATGGAGAACATGCATCTCTGCTCTTGACTGAAGGACTCTTGTAGCTAAAATGTTTTTCTTACAGTTAATATGTTTAAAGCACATTTTGTTTTATATTTTTATTCTATTGTATTTATTTCTCTTTCCTTTGCAGGGTGGAAAATAACTGTATATGTACAGTTGACGTCAGAATTATTAGCCATCCTGAATATTAGCAACCCTTTTTCCCCAATTTCTGTTTACTGGAAAGAAGATTTCTGAACATAATAGTTTTAATAACACATTTCTAATAACTGATTTATTTTATCTTTGTCATGATGACAGCACAAAATATTTGACTAGATATTTTTCAAAATACATGCATTCAGATTCAAAGTGCGACTTAAAGGCTTAATTAGGTCAATTAGGCAAGTCATTGTATAACAGTAGTTTCTTATGCAGACAATCAAAAAATATATTGCTTAAGGGGGCTAATAATATAGACTTGGGTTTCAAAATATTTAAACCTGCTTTTATTCCAGCCAAAATAAAAGTAAAAATCCTTTCTCTAGAAGAAAAAATATTAGAGGAAATACTGTTATAATTCCTTGCTCTGTTAAACTTAATTTGGGAAATATTTACTTTAAAAAAAATTTTCAGGAGTGCTAATAATTTTGACTTTAACAGTAATCGTTTTAAATAATCGTGATTACAATTATGACCAAAATAATCGTGATTATGATTTTTCCCAAAATCGAGCAGCCCTAGTGCGAGTCCTAAGCTAACAGTGAGTCCTATGGGCCACAGAGGAATTACTGTGTGCAAACATTTTTTACACATACTTGCACTTCAATTCTGATTGCTTGAGAAAAAATGTTTTTCTAGACTAAATTAACACTGTTTTTTTTAAATTATCAAAATAAAAACACAAATTATATATCAGAGCTCTTTTACTTTGGAGTTTCCCTGACACACTCTGATGAATTTCCTAAAAATTACTTTACAAAACATACCAAATAAAATCAATAATTAACTTAAACAAATAATTAAAATAAGGCTGAAACTTACTCCGGTTTGGCTCCCTGGATCAACAAGACATTAATACACTCCATGTTACCAGCCCGTGCTGCCTTGTGAATTGGTGCTTCACCAACGTAATCCTGAAACCATATTGGAAAAGCAAACTTTTTTTATTACAATATTAATTAAACAGGCCATGCAACAGAAAAGGTGTCAGTTGTCTGGACATAAAATAAATAAAATAATGTGGATTTCTAAAAGCTATTTAAAATTGTTATGTCTGCAGTTCTGGCTGTTGTCAATCTGATGTAGGTTATCAAGCAGGGCTGTGTTTCCCAAATGCATCAAAAGTTGATAAAAACCACTGTTACTAAAGGAGCTATGATGAATGTAAGATTAAGATGGATTTGGAAAACACAACCCAAAAAGACCCTGAACTCTTTAGCCCAATACAACAGCAGTAAACTTGAGCACAATTTGCCCTTAAATAACACAGAAAATGCCATAAAATGTAGGCCAACTCACACAATAGATAAAGTAATAGTAATGCAACAGGAACCTCTCATTGATTTCCTTTCAGAACAAGGCAATAATATGTCTTGCTTGATAGTGTGCATGCCTTTATGCATGTTATATATATATGTATGCATGTATGTG